CTCTTTCCCCTCCCTCTCATCTAGTCAATTATTTGATAGCAGATCACATACTTTATTTACTAGAATAAAGTATGAAAGGAACAGAACACTGCCACAAGACTAGCGACCAGAACATAGCTTTCTTGGTGCTACTGCTTGACGATATTTTGTGGAACAGATGAGTTTTATCTTTAAATTCTCCACATGGCCCAATTTTATGTTTTGTGCATAAGCTTGACTCAAGCCATGATATTTTCAATGATCTTCTATGCATACAAAGGCTGGTCAATGAATAAGGAAGGCTGAAGAAGAATTGATGCATTTGAATTATGATGCTGGCAAAGATTATTGAAAGTACTATGAACTGACAGAAGAACAAACAAATCTTTCTTAGAAAAAGTGTTGCCAGAATCCTCCTTGGAAGCAAGGAAATGTAGACTTTGTGTCTCCTACTTTGGATATGTTGTCAGTAGGGACCAGTCTTTGGAGAAGGACATCATGAGTGGTAATGTCAAAGGTCAGAGTAAAAGAGGAAGACTCTGAATGAGATGACACAGCGGATGCAACAATGGGTTCAAACATGGCAGTGATCGTGCGGATGGTTCAGGACAGGAAATCATTTGTTCTGTTGCACATAGGGTTGCTATGAGTCAGAAAGATTGGACAGTACCTAACAAAAACAGCAACAACAACAAACATTTGAATTAAACTTATCCAATAAAGATCTGCTTTGGCTCAAAAATACAGTGTTTAGTGTTTTACAAATTTTAATTATAGACCATTAAGAAAAATATTTTCTAGCTTCCTGATCTTGTTAAACTATATAATAAAGTTATGTCTTTCTGAGAAGGGACTTTTTCTTTCATGATCTTCCCTAATGAGGTCTGAGCTGCTATACCATTTAATGTGAGGGCCAAGAATTATATTCAAATTTAAGCTGAGAAACACACACACACAAACTTACAACAGAAAACTCCAGTGGTGCCATCTCCCTAATTTAGAGGTCAGGGTACTAAGGTCAGAAAGGTTAGTTTCATTAAGACTCACTTTTGCTCTTGTGGTTTCTGTACAGCAATCTGGTTTAGACATAATGGGGAAATGTAGGAATAAACATGGTGCAGAGTGACATCTTAATATCAAATCTATAGCTCTCTAAGGAGTCTTGCTGATACAGTGTTAGTGTGTGGATGTAATAAAAAAGTTGGTGGTTCAAACCCACCAGTGGCTCCGTGGGAGAAAGATGTGGCAGCGCTAGAAACACTATGGAACAGTTTTACTTTGTTCTATAAGGAGCTCTGGTAGCATAGAGGTTATGAATCGGGCTGCGAACCTTAAGGTCAGCAGTTCAAAACTACCAGCTGTTCCGCGCGCGAGAGATGAGGCTTTCTGCTCCCGTAAAGATTTACAGCCTCGGAAACCCTGTACAGGTTCGCTATGAGTCAGTTCCAACTCCACGCACATAACCACCACCATCATAGGATCAATTGGAATTGACTTGACAGCAGTGGATATATCTACAGTGTAGATATGTGTCTATTTACAAAGGGCAAGAAACAAAATCACGCCATCAATTTTGCTACATTACATATAAATGAGAATCCAAGATTATGAGTTTATTATGCTCTCTTCTAAACTACTGAATCAACTTGCACAATAGTTGAAAAGCTTCATTGTGTCAGAAATTTACAGTCAAGATTTTCTAAACATTATAAACTCTAAAGACTGCATTGTTACAATTGCTTAGGGAACACTTTCCCCACCCCTCCTTTAAATCACCAGTGCGTGAACACCCAAAATTCTCCTTTTCTTTTTCCTTTGCACTGAAAATATACTGGATTAATTTGTGGTCTATTTAGATGAGATAATATCATCTTAACATTCTGGTACTTTATGTACAAAATCCTCTTCACAAGACCTCAGATAAACTTTGGATTATACCAAATTTTGTATTATAATGGAGTTCTAAATATGGTTGAATCTTAATATGGGACTCCTGGTGTGGTGCTGTAAAATCAGCACTGGACTGCAAACCACAAGGTCGGTAATTCAAATCCACCAGCTGCCCCTTGGAAACCCTATACAGGGTCACTATGAATCAGAACCAACTCGATGGCACTTAATGACAAATATGCTCAATTAGACATATATACTGTATGTATATTTATATTTTACACACTTGTATTTATATTTTCAAGAGAGCGGTGGCTCTGTAGGGTAAGCACAGGACTGTGAACCACAAGGTCAGTGGTTTGATCTCATCAGCCACTCTGTGAGAAAAAGATGAAGCTTTCTGCTCCTGCAAAGATTTATAGTCTTGGGAACCCTATACAAGGCTGCTATGAGTCGTAACCAAGTCAATGCTACTTAACAACAACAACATTTACATTTTAATTTTTCATTGCAAATTTAAGCCACTGTGAAAATAAAATAAAGTAAAATTCTGTTTAAAATGCTTTGCTATTCCATTGATTTAACCAAATCTGGTTATTGCTATAAAAAATGTGAGCTCTGGTAGCGTAGTGGTTACGAATCAGGCTGCGAACTGGAAGGTCAGCAGTTTGAAACTACCAGCTGTTCTGTGGGAGAAAGATGAGGCTTTCTGCACCTGTAAAGATTTACGGCCTCGGAAACCCTGTACAGGGTCGCTATGAGTCAGAACCGACTCCATGGCACATAAAAAACAATTTCTTACTTGTACTTTCTCTATAGTCAAACTTATGATTATATATACACATTCATATAAATTATCATATATATCTGATTAGTGCCATCAAGTCTGTTCCAACTCATTGTGACACTATATAAGGTATCTAGGGAGAGTCTGCTGGTGGGTTTGAACTGCCAACCTTGGAGTTGGAAGTCCAGAGCTTATCTTACAGTGCTATACTAGGACTGCAGTATTTATATATATGTGTAAGTGCATGTATGTGTGTATGTATATATGTATGTATTGGATATATTAGTAGCTATGAGTTGGAACCTACTTGAGGGCACTTAACAACAACAATATATATATGCATGTATGTATACATAATTTACTATTAATTTAGTAAGAAGGCACATGAACTTCTGAAAAATTTCATACTTATATTATTATTCTAAGAGTGAGGCTATACACACAAATATACATACATAGGTTATTGTTATTAAGTGCTGTTGAGTTGGTTCTGACTCATAGCAGCCCTGTATAGGGTTTCTGAGGAGCAGCTGGTGAGTCTGAATATCAACCTTGTAGTTAGCAGTCCAGTGCTTATTCTATTGTGCCACACCAGGACCAGCAGATATTTGTTCATATGTATTTATCTTTGCTGCTAATAGATTCATTACATACATATACACACATACATACATATATACTGAAGTCCTAGTGTGGCACTGTAGGATAAGCTCTGGACCAGAAGACATTTGTTCATATGTAGACATACAGGAGACAAGTTATGAAAATTTCTCAGACATAACCAAACGCATTAAGGGAATGAGTCACATGGAATTTGGGTGCTCAGGACTATGGTCTTGGGGGACACGAAGGTCAATTAGCATAACACAGTCCACTAAGACAGTGTTCCAGATCCAACTTTGGTGAGTAGCAAATGAAGTCTTAGATATTTGTAGCGTCTAACTCTCTCAGACCAGATGGAAGAAGAGTGAAGAAAATCAAAGACACATGGAAATAATTAGTCCAGCGGGCTAATGGGCCACCCAAACATCTGTCACTACCACCTTGAGACCCAAAGAACTAGATAATGCCCAGCTATCACTACTGACAGCTATGAAAGGAATTACATTAGAAGGTCCTGGATAGGGTGGGAGAAAAATGTGGAACAAAACTCAAAATCATAACAAAACAAAACAACTCCCCCAATCCCAGAAAAAAAAAAAACCCCAACAGGCTTGTTGGTCCAATGGGGACTGGTGGAATTCCCGAGAGACTATGGTCTTCAGTCACCTTTCAGATCTGGAAAAGACTCACCTTTGTGGCTCAATTTTTAGCCAAACAGTAGACAAGTCTATAAGGGGAACAATAACACTAGAGATGTACCCATACCTTAGAATAATTGAACATTTGAGATTTAAAGGGCAGCAAATACCCAAGGACAAAGTTCAGTAGGGTTAGGAAAAGAGGCGGAACGGGGAAAGAAAACCCAGGAAGAAAATGGGATCAGTGATGTTACATTGCGGGGATTGCAGTCAATGAGATGAAACAAAAGGCGTATGAATTGCTGAATGTAAATTGGATGACCTGCTCTGTAAACCTTCACCCAGTTCAGCCTAAAAAGAAAGAAAGAAAAAGAAAATGTATCAAATGTTACCGAGAACAGATGACTGAAAATGACAATGTCCTTGTCTTCAGGAGGGATTTTGTAAGGTAAAATAACTTACTTTTTATCAATAATTCTTGAAAGGTAGGTTTTGTAACCAAAGCGACATTGCCTTTACATTAATAAGCACTTGATAAAGCTCTATTACTATAGGAGAGGAACAAATTAAGCTAAATAAATTTTGTAAAACACAAAATTTTCAATGCATCAGATATTTTATTATCAAATGTTCTGATTTTGTTTATGCACAAACTGAAAACAGATTTTCTATATCATCCCCCAAATTGAAATGCTGAAACACCATTAAGAATATGACGATTCAGAAAAGAATTGCAGACTTACAAAAAAAAGATTTCTTTGCCCTAGTTCCAAATCTTCCTAGACAAGTTGTTAGATAGCTAGCACATATAATATGTGTGAATTGAATAGGGATAAATGTGTCTTCTGGAATAAAAGTCTGAGGTTTGGTGTAATGATAGGCATGCTGAATGAATAGTTCAGGATAATGCTCCACTATCATCAAATCAGATCTTCACACACATATGTAATCCATTTTGCACAATGGTTTCACTTCAATGTGTATGTAATTAAATTGTAAGGTGCAGTAATAGCTGCTGCTGAGTTGAAATTTTGTTTTTTTTGGTTTAAAGAAATGAATAGAAAACATAATCAAGTGAACATCAAAGTACTTTTTTGAGACTGTTAAATCTCATCAAAGAGGTCTTCTGAACTGGTATTTCTTAGAGTTTCTAAAGACATGTTTTCAGCCGAGCTGTGTTCCTTTTTCAATGTCTGAGGGAGTGAAGGCTCATACCTAGAATAAAAAGAAAATTTAGATAATTTCATTAAAAAATAAGTCCATTATAAAAGATGATATGATCCATAAATAAAATAAGTTAAATCTTGCTTTCAGAATTACTTTAGAGAACTATTTCCCTATTCTGTGTTAACCAGAAATAAAGAAAGATAAAAGGAATTCAATGTCTTTAACAGGCGCTGTAGGATAAGCACTGGATCACAAGGTTGGTTTGCACTGCAAGGTCGGTGGTCCAAACTCACCAGTCACTTCTCGGAAACCACTTACAGGATCACCATGAATTGAAACCAACTAGACGGCACTTAACAACAATTATGCATTAATAAAAACTTAAAAGGTCTACAAAAAGACTCATTATTTCTTGACACATTAAGGTCAAGAAATTAAGTGTCTGCTGTGCTGTAGTCATTTTATGTCAATATAGAGTATGTGTCTTAAGCCAATACTTGAATGATTTCTCCCGATTTACATGTCCTTCTGCTCCCTTAAGTCCTATCTATTCACATGCATTTTAAATTCTTAACGGTAAATTTCTAGACCACATGAATTACCTTTGGTGGTCAACCTGATTATAAATTTGTCTAAAATTAATGATGACTTCACATTTATGGCAGCTGCTGGTAAGGTGCTGGCTCACATTTATTTAATGAATCTACATATCTGCCTTCGGTATGGATTACATCTCAATGTAAAGAAAACAAAAATCCTCACCACTAAACAACATTCTTATCAATGGAGAAAAAACTGAAGTTGTCAAGGATTTCATTCTTCTTGGATCAAGTGTCAACACTCATGGAAGCAGCAGTCAAGAAATCAAACGATGTATTTATTGCATTAGGCACATCTGCTGCACAAGACCTTTTTAAAGTGTTGAAGAGTTAAGATGTCAGTGTGAGGACTAAGGTGCGCTTGACCCAAGCCATGGTATTTTCAACAACCTCATATGCATGCGAAAGCTGGATGCTGAATAAGGAAGACCGTAGAAGAATCGATACTTTTAAGTTATGGTGTTGGAGGAGAATACTGAAAGTGCCATGGGCTGCCAAAAGAACCAACAGATCTGTGTTGGAAGAAGTGTAGTCAGAGTGCTCCTTAGAAGCCAGGATGGCCAAATTTTGTCTCTCATACTTTGAACATATTGTCAGGAAGGACCAGTCGCTGGAGAAGGATATTCTGTTTGGTAAGGTGGAGGGCTATAGAAAAAGAGGAAGACCCCCAACGAGATGGATTGGCCAAGTGGTGGCATCTATGGACTCAAGCATGGCAACAATAGTGAGGTTGGCCCAGGATCGGGCAGTGTTCATTCTGCTGTGCATAAGGTCCCTATGGGTCGGTACCAACTCAATGGCACCCAAAAACAACAACAACATATCTGCATTCAGTAACCTAAATTTCACACAGGTTCATTACAACATCAATGGGCCAATAATTATATTTATGTACATTTTCTTTGTGTCCTAGGATATCAGGTAGTGATCACTACTAATTGTCCTTGGGAACAGTGAGCTGGAGGATAACAGAGCTCAGTGAGAAGTTTAGTTATGTTTATACCCTTGTATAATCCTTGTCAGTGATTCTCTCTAGAACCTAAATAAACTAGGCTTCCCAGTAACAGTCTGAGACGGTTCCAGGAAAATTATGATGAGGTGGAGTCAACCTAGTAACATTAAGTAATACTCCATATTTTTAACTTCAAAGGCAGAAGAGGAATGAAAGCAGCTGCTTGGTATAGTTAAAAGAGAATGGGACTTGAAGTCAGGACATAGATTTGCATTCAGGTCTTATTAGCTTTGTAGCTTTAGGGAAATCATTTAACCTAAAAGGACTTCTGTTCTCTAATCTGCAAAATGGGGATAATAATATTTGTCTGATAGGTGATCTAAAGATTAAATGAGGTGATGTAAGTGAAAATGCATCAAAGTGCTACAGAACATATGGAAGCTATTATTAGCTGCTGGTATTGCATAAACTACAAAGAGTTCTTGCAAACAGAACAGACTCCTTAATTTAGAAGAATAACCAAGGAAAATACTGAAGTATCTTTGTTTAGATTATGAGTATCTAAAAAAACCTGCACCGACACGTAGTTGTACAGTAGATTAATAGAAATGAATCCACCAAAGCGTTCTCCTTGGCCTTCTAGCTGCATACAATTAACCATGGTTGGCTGCCACTAGACGTAGGGCATGTGTTCTGCCTTATTCTAAGCAAACCAAGTTGAGACAGCTGTATTCTCATAGGAATACCAAGGTGCTAGGCATTAACACATTGTCAAAATGACAAGTACTATCCTCTGGGAGTTTCAATGATAAAATTAACACTAAACAGGGACGTAATTATTGTAATATGTAACTAAATACCTAAAAATATATTGTATAGGAAGAGAGGTGAAAATGATATAGTAGAAAATAAAGGTATAATTATTACAAGTTTTCAGTGTCAACTCTAAACACATTAATTTTTTCTGTCCCCAAATATCTTTGAGTTGATTTTTCTCCTCCTAGGCAACAGAAATAACTGAATTATTTCAATTAAAAAGTCAGACATGGAAAAACCTCTGTAATTTTGTTCATAGTCTAGACACGACAAGAAAAACAGATCTATCTGTTTAGTTAAAAAAAATATATATATATAAGTCAACTTTAGACAAAAGGACCCCTCTGAAGCTACAATTCTGAAGGAAATAGATTCCTGGTGTTCCATTTATGATGCCCATCTTCTAAAGTCATGAAGAGTTTAAGAAATAGATTTTTGGCTCTTGCTTTTAGTGTTTAGTACATAATAGGCACTTAGTAAAGGTTGTCCAATGAATGGAGATCATTGTTCTATAGTTTTCATATCCATAGTAAGTCAACTGAGTAAATTCAGATCTCCACAGAATCACAAAGAGAGTCTGATCATTTTTATAAGCAATACATGATTATTGTAAGACTTTAATTGTGAAAAGCACAATGAAGAATATAAAAACATCTATCTATCTATCTATCTATCTATCTATCTATCTATCTATCTATCTATCTATATCTATATATACAAAAATTGAATCATTCTATATCTATGGTCTTCCAACCTGTTAACTGGTGCTGTTGTTGTTGTCAGGTGCCATCGAGTGGGTACCGACTCATAGTGACCCTATGCACAACCGAACGAAACACTGCCCAGTCCTGGTAGGAAACTCTATATAGGATTGCTGAGTTGGAATCTACTCGATGGCACTTACCAACAACAATCGTTTACTCCGAAGTATATTAAGGATGTCTTTGGTGAAAAATGTAGATTGCTGATAGTTTTAACACAGATATAATAATCAGTATCCCACTGATGGATATCTGGGTGGGTTTTTTTTTGTTTTTTTAAAAAATATTACTATAAACAGTACAATGATTAATAAATATCCTTTTACATCTACAGAACCCTCATGTGGTGCTGCAGAAAAACGCACGGGATCATAAGGTCAGTTTGAACCACAGAGTCAACTGCTCCTCGGAAACCCTATACAGGGTCGCTGTGAGTTGGAATTGACTCGATGGCATTTAACAATAGCCTATAATGCAGTATAGGAGTCCTGGTATGGTGCTGTAGGATAAGCACTAGACTGCTTATGGTAAAGTTGGAAGTTCAAATCCACCAGCTGCTCCTAGGAAACCCTATTTAGGTTAGCTATAACTAAGAACCAACTCAACGGCATTTAACAATATTAATCATATGTTTTCATGGTGGAAACCTTAAAGAATTCTTATTCTTAGAATTCAGGTAGGTTTAAAGGTGAAATTTTAAAGCAAATAAAGAACGTGCATCTACAGTCTTACTGGTTAGTAAGCTGCCAATCCTTTGAAATTTGTAAGTTCCTCTCTAATTAAATTACAGATATGTCTTGAAACAGTTTAAATTCTAAATCTTCCATGAAGATGCTTTTGAATGCCCACATCCAAGCTGCCTTTTCTTTCCTCTGAGCAATTTGAGTTGTTGTTAACTATCTTCTAGTCGGTTCTGATTCCTAGTGTCTGGTCTAGGGGTTCTGAGGAACAGCTGGTGAGTTTGAACCACCTACTTTGAAGTTAGCAGTTCAGTGCTTATCCTACAGCACTTAAGAGTACTCATCTAAAAATATCTGTTGCATATGCATCATGTTGTTGTTGTCAAGTGCCGTGGAGCCAGTTCTCACTTATAGCAATCCTATGTAGGGTTTCCAAGGAGTGGCTGGTGGGTTTGAACTGCCAACCTTGTAGCTCAAATGGCCCAGTGCTTTATTTCACAGCGCCATACTAGGACTAGATGATGATACCCTCACTAGAAAATGGTTTCATATTTTCAGTACTGTGATTGCAAAGATTCTTGTTTTGTTAGTTAAATTTCACACTGAATTAACACATACACACCACACACACACACACAGTAACTACACCTAAATAAAAATGATACTGCCATCATCTAATTACCAATGAACAGTGCCAGCCAAAGGCTAGATTTGTAAAAAGATGTTATCTTATCCTTAGTAAATTTCTTTAAAATGTTAGAATGAGTGATTGTTTAATTTGTTGGGAATTGAATTACCAAAATCTTTTAAAATGATATTTTCATTAATTTTGTAAATGCAGAATTTATCAGCTAAGTTTATAAGATAATGTTGTTGTTAAGTGCTGTTGAGTTGTAGCCAACTCACATGACCATGCATAGGGTTTCTGAGGAGCGGTTGGTGGGTTTGGACCACCAACCTTGCAGTTAGCAGTCCACTGTGTATCCTACAGTGCCACACCAGGACTCCTATAATGTAATAATACCATGTAATATAATGTGATACATTGCTGGAATATGTGTCTTTTCTTATTCAAATGAGAAGTATTAGTACTGTTTGGAATGAATTGAATGTTATAATAATATACCCCAAAGGTATTATCGTTAAAACTTATCAAAGTACCAAAGTGAGCAAAATGAAAATTCTAAGAAAATATGCAGTTATTGATGCACTGTGTCACTTATTTGGGTGGCACATGAGA